GGAAAAAACCATTGCTAGCCAGTGTTTTTTGTGCCAGTGAAATGCAATAGTTGTTTATTTGTCTGCCTCCCCCCATAATGTGTCAGGTTTATTTCTATGAACTTCCGTTACCTAGCAGACTACCTGTGCATAGTAGACACTAAGTCTGAGTAAATATTTGAGGAATCAATTGAGGAGTAAATGCCAGGCTAATGCTTACAACGTTTTAGCATGCATTAATTCTAATAAAGCATGTACTGCGTCTTCTCTACTTTACCTGATTAGGAGTCAGGCTCTGAAATATTGACTCACCCAAAGACACTAGGTTTGTACAGTTTATAAGGCTGGGATTTGGACTCGGGCCTGTTTGTTAACAGAGTTCAGTTCATGCTTTTTCTACTAACTAGTCTCTGTCTCTGTCATAAATCATAAATATAATTGTTAATAAGTATGTCATTTCCTTGCTAGGGGTGCCAAGTTACTTTTGGAGTATAAAATCTTATGACTGATGCTAGCTTAGCAAGTTACACTTTGGAAACATTTTTACCTGTTATATTATAGTCCTTAAAAAGTCCATGAGTTGGTATCTTTCTTACCATTATATTGATGGGAAAAACTAAGTCTTGTGGAATCATAGCTCATGAGGACCAGTGATAAGACTGGAACTCAAGCCTTATGGATTTAAAAGTAAACAATTTACCAGCGAAAATCAGAAAAGATTTCAAAGAAATAACATCTAGAACAAGTCAGAGCCTTGTAAGCCCCTCTTTAAAACAGGTTTTAAAATATATAGTTGGCCATTTTATTTTACCACATCCATAGTTTAAATATCGTGGTTAGAATAGGATAATTTACCGAGTGCAGTTCTGAACTGGTGAACTTTCTGAATTAAGGTATATGTATGTACTACACAACTCATGATCTATGCTTCATGTAAATGAGGACTATACATGAGCCATGAGTGTGGAGCATCCTCATTTACATGGATACATAAAAATTCCAAAACAAGGTGCAGCGAACCACTAATTTAACTACTGTGATTTTTAAAATATGAAAACTAAGAGATGGGGTGAGAAAAAGATCAGCTTTGACAAAATCTTTTTCTATGTGACTTGAACATTATGAGTTCCAAAAATTGTTACACAGAAGTATTATTTGGAGAAATTTTAAATAATACCTTTTTAAAATTTAACTAAAAGAATTAAAACTTTCTTTGAATCATTTAGTTGAACTTTTAACCTAGATTGAGAAATAAATACAAACTATGCAAAAATACAGGTTAAGTGTTACCTTTAGCAGATAAGTATCAAAAATAGTAGAAATTTAGAGCTAAAGGGATGTTGGTGATCACCTTAATTCAGTGATCTTACTTTAGTGGAAAAATACTGTGGCCTAGGGACTGCCACTAGATGGTTAAATTTGGAGAAATTCAAACTTAGTTTTGGTATTTTTTAGGAGATGGAAGGGGAGATGATCCATGAAGTGTCAGTGATCAGATGGGACTTAAAGTGGTTTGTGACTTCCTTTCTTTAAAAACTTGTCTTTTTGAGTTATGAGGAGTTTTTTGTTTTTGTTTTTTTTTTTTTTAGCACGCTAACTTGCTAATAAAGTACAGAGAAAGAAGTTCAAGAACTTGCCCAGTTTCTTTGAAAGTTAGTGACAGAGTCAAGATTAAAAGCACACCCTTGATTATCACGGTAACTTTTATTTATATAATGTAACTGTAACACCTGTTTAGCTCACTGAGCCATTCTGCCCTCATAATGCCCCCATGAGGCTGCCCAGAGCAGGGTCAGCCAGTGATCCTGTGAGGGTGAGCAAGTGAAATAACAAGAGGAAATGTCTAAGAAGGGTCCCAGAGGGCAAGAGAAAAGACAAATGTTAGTATCTTAATTCCTCCAAACCTAAGTAGTTTGTCTTATAGTAGCAGAGCCATTATACTAATGGAAATACCAGAGTTGGTGAAAATTTCAAAAAGATAAAGCTGTCCCTTAGGATTCAGTAGCTTAATGGCTTGCAAAGGAGCTAAACCTAAATGTTTTAGGCAGTGCAAAGCTGGGCTCTGAAAACTTGCCTCAAGATAATGGAAGCAAAAACATTCAAAGTACTTTTATCTTCTTGGAAGTAAATGTGACAATAAAATAATGAGTTGAAAGGTCATACTGAAAGTTGTAAGGCTGCATTTAAAATGCAAAATGCATATAAAGGCAGTATGTTCACTGCTAATGAAATTCAATGGCTTTGTCCTAAACTAAAGTTTCTATAGGAAAGTGCTGTTATTTTTGGTAAATAAAAATATAAAACACATGTGCTTAGGGCTTAAATAAATGAGTGAGCAGTTTCTATGTTTTATCATTTAGCCCTCACAGTAACTCTCTGAAGCGATACTGTGATTATCCCCATTTTCAAGCATGGAAACTGAGGATTAAATAAGTTAAGTAACTAGTTCAGGATCACAGACCAGTGAATGACAGAGCCAGGACTTTAACTCAGAGTTAAACTGCAAACCCAAACAACCACTAAAAGTTGCTGCTTCGTGTAACTAAATTCTAAGTCCATAAAATGTTAACACCATATGTGTCTGATAAGCTTTCTTTATGAACAGTTTAAAAATTACTTTTAATTTACTGATAAATATTAATGGTAGACTAACAGTAACCACTGGTAGTAAAAAAATCTAAGAAATTCAGAATTTCAGCTAAAAGATTATTTAGTGAAATCTGACTGCTTCATTTAACAGGCTAGAAAGCTGTGACCCAAAAGCTTACTGACACTCTATAGCATATTGCTGACTAGAAGTTTGCAACATTTTAGGCTAAACACTAAAATCCACTGATTCTAATCAAAACCGCACAACATACCAGATTTTCATTGCATAAAATATTTTTAAAATAATTTATTAGTTGACGAGTCTCTTACAAATCTTTGCATCCTTAGTGCTTTGCACAGTGCCTGCTTAGCATGTAAAACAGGAACCAAGTTTTTTTTAAGTAAACAAGTATAATCATTATAGTTTTAGGATCCAAAGCATGTATAACTTGTTGCATAGTAATTTTTATGCATCTCTCAACATTCCTCTGCTAGGAACATATTTTATATCAGCAGTAATTTTAGGCTCTGATTCCTATGTGGCTTTTGAAGATCTCTTTTCGTTGCTTCTTGGTTTCAGCTTTGGAAATCTAGAGAAACCCCATTAAAATTTAATATTACAAAAAGAAATAAGACACCTAAAACAATAAGTGTACACTGAAAATTATTTATCCAAAACTGAAAAAAGTAAAAAAAAAAAAATCCCTTATTTGAAAAATGCCTTTGAATAGAAGCCTTATGATTTAGTTGAAATGCACAGAAAATAAATTATTCCAAGTGTTTGTAGGATATGACTTGAAAAGTTCTTGTTTGAGAGTCTAGGTCTTGTTTCCTCCCAAGAAAAATTTAGTTATTCCCATTTTATATTTTACTTTGTAAGTTAATCCTATACTTAGGTATCTGATATAATCTCAGTTTTCTTTTTTATATAATTACTACTAACTTTTTTTAAAAAATATTGCTTATTTCAAAGAAACATAATGTTTAAAAGATGTGAAGCATTTAATCCTTAAATGCTGGAAACACTTTTAAAGTATTGTAAGCACATCTGTATTACATTACACCCAGGGAGAAGAATGTATGAATTCTATGATCTGTGGGCACTAAGGTGGATGGTTTAGAAAAACAGTATTTTGCATTTCAAGTATTTTTCAACATAAAGAATATTCTCCAATTCTAAAATGAATAATTCCAGGCTGGGACATGTGATCAGGGAAGCATAAGTGAAGTTTTGGTTTTACAGTTGTTCTTTCATGTTATTAAGCTTGGCTTTGCATTTTGTTAAGCACTTTTATTTTTCCTGATTTGAAAACGATTGCATGAGACAAACTCAGAACATGAAGAAATCCCTACATCAGATTTCTTAATAAGTGTCCTGCATGTTTTAGACAGCTATGATGGTGCAGATAATTTATTACTAATTAAGAAATACCAAAGTTTGTTAATGATTCACTCTTACAATTACAGCAAATTTAAATGCATCCCAATGATAGCCTCACTCTTGATCAGTTGTGTTCCAGTGTCCTTTTTTTGAGCAGGAGATAAAAGGATGGAGTTATAGCTGTTAGTCTGGATATCTCATGTGTTATGTATTTTACATGTGAATATCATCTGTCATTGGTAGAGATGAATAAAAATGCTGGAGGGAACTTCCGCACTACACTGATGGACATGTTCTTAGCTTTTTCTTCTTTGGCATGAAATGACATTATGCCAACATATTCTCATATGTACCTGCTAGTGAGCTAGCTAGAATTCTACCCCTTTTACTCCCACCCCAGAAAGCAAGCAAGAATGAATGTTCTGGAGATGCATATTCAGTCACCTCAAACTTGTTTTTTTTTAATAATGATTTGAGAATTTCATACTTTAATGAATATTATAATTACCTGTGACACATTTGGCAGCTATGTCATGATAAACTGTGTTTCTTAAATTTTATATGGCAATATAAATTTCTGGAAACTAGTTAGAATAATTGACTTTTTACAAAAGCCAATTTCATAATCAGTTATTTTATTGCCATGTTACTGGAAATTATTATAAGATGATTGGTTGTCTTTAAGACTCAAAATAAATATATTTGAGGAATTTGAATTGTTAGCTAGTCATCCATTTATTCAAGAAAAATAACAAGGTAAATATTATATTAAAGTCTTTATTTTTTACTTGGTATGGAAATTGGTAGCTTGTTCTAGAGCTTTCCTAATGTCAGAATATTTGATTTTTTAAAATTTAGTTTTAGAACCTCTATAATAATAGCTCTTGTACCTGCCTTTCTTAGAAGGTATTAAACTTACACTATAAGGAAATAACTACTGAATTGTCATCACCTCTTAAAAAATTTTAATGTAAAGGACTCATGTATTTATTAGTAATTTTGAATGTTAAGAGTATTTCCTATTTTTTTGTTTTTGTTTTTTATTAATAAGATATTATGAACTAGATCCTTATAAAAGTCTCCTAGACAATTTGCGGAACAAAGTGATCATTGAGTATCCAACATTACATGTGGTATTGAAAGGATCCAATAATGACATGAAAGTTCTTCACCAAGGTAAGTGTAAATTTGTTCCTGTAACGCTTAGAATAGCTTTACGGAAACCAAAGCAAAATGTGTCCACCCTTATTTCTTTATACATGTTTTCCCACTATATTTACACACTTACAAGATCTACTCTATAGCTACAGTGAATATGAAGAACTAAAATTGAGATGCTGCTCTTTTTCTGTTTTTACGAGCATATAATCTTTTAAAACCAATTTTAAGTGAATTAATCAAATTGAATGACAAAGGATTTTTTTTGGCCTGGAGTTCTGTGTATTTTTGTCTCTTTTTAAGCTAATAGTCTTTAAGTAACTGTCCATGAATACATAAATTTACTCCATAGTTAAGACTTTAGACATTTCTAAAATGAGGGATTACAAAACATTTTTAGTTGACAATAAAAATGTTGAATGGTTTTTTTAAAAAAGCTAGTATTCTACCTTTTAGAAAGAGATAATGTTGCAAGGAACATTATATTTAAAAAAATTTGGCAGCATTTAGACTAAGCTAATATCATTGCCTTTACCCTTTCTCTCCTTTTCTAAAACCACTGGTTTTATTTTCTCTGCTTTTGTTTCTCTGATTTTGTGATACAGGGAAGTACTAGAACTGAAAAAAATGTACATAAAAGTTTAATACATAAAATTATTTAACTATAGTTGTAACTTTTGACTAAACTAATTGTATTTCTGAATTCAAGATTTTAGAGGATGAGTAAAATTTAGTGACTACCTTTAAAAAGTGAAGAAAATTACTCACCTTAACCCAAAACTATTACATAGCACTTTCAACTACAGGAATTATAGATACAGGCCCAGTTTTGTTGTAACAAACTCCAGAGGAACATAGAATCTTTGTCTTGAACTCTATTCTTTTTTTACTCTCTCTCTCTCTCAGGTTGTCACCTGTTGATAAACTCTATTCTTTAAGTAGTATTTGAAATGTGTGGTTTAAGTTTTATTGTTATACCACCATTAGGCTGTAAGATGCAGTAACCTATGTTGTAATGTTTTATCTGTTGTGCATAGTGTTTTTTCTATGCAAAACTTAATAGAAAAAAATGTTTTTCAAAGTGGTCAAAATTTTATCAGTGCTACAACTTGAAAGTAGATTTTAGTTGGCAAACATGGTGTTTCTAATAATAAATTATGGACCTCCAAATCACATTTTTATTCATGACATTAATATTTTTCACAATTTGAGAATATTCTATATAATCTTCTCAAAATAAATTAGGAATTTTAGTTTTAAATGGCCAGTTTCACTTTGTTTAAGCTTTGTATTACTTTTCTTTTTTCTTAATAAATTCACACAGTGCTCTCTCAAATGCTGGTTTCAGGAAAAGTTGTTTAGTGGTATAAGTAGTGGCTAGGGCAAACATCATCTGTGTAAATAAACAGCACAGACATCTCTCCTTTCACTTTGTTTAGAAGTGTACATTTAAGGAAGGCTTCCTGTAATGAAGCAATAAGAAAAGACTACTAGTGTACTGGGAGCCTTATTGAATAAAATTTGCTATTTTTCTGGTTGGTATATGATGTCTGACTTATTTACAGAACACAGAGGACTCATGCTTTTAGTACAGAGGATTATTTAGAACTGTGTTAGCAAAAAACCAAAAGGATCTGACAGGATTTTAAAACCATACCAGTTTTGTCACATCATAAGTACAAATACCTTAAAAGTAATGCCCAGGTCTTCCTATATGTGCATTTCTTTCTGTAAGTACTTTAAGGTATCTGTTTCTTTATACATTCTCACAGCATCAGATATTCTGCAGGGTGATCCCTTGATGAGGGAAGGGGATTATGTAAGAAGAGGGCATTTTCTTTGGAAAGTCTTGAAATTTCTTCTCTCTCTGGAGGTAAAAAAGTTGGGTTTTGATCCTAAGTTCATAGTACAACTTGTCTCTTTCCTAATTTGGGGGTAAATATGTTTCTGGGCTGGGATTCAGTAATTCCAACACCTGATGGTTGTTACAGTATTTGTTATGATTGTAGATTGCCATAATTTTTTTTAACTCTGCCTATATTAATCAACAGTAGCCAAAATTTTGTTTGTTTGTTGCTTTTTTAGGAATGGAAAAGGTTAACTGGAAAAGGATGAGCAGTTAAGATAGTCCACTAGATTGGATATGCTGAGTTCTGATTACCTACCTTACATCAATCCAGTAGGAAGTGCTCACTCAGAATGGTGTAACTTGCTTCACAGGCTGTTATAAGCCAAAGTTAGACTAGCAGATTTAAATGATTGATAAAAGCATGCTGCATTTCAATCTAACGAAAAAAGAATGGATCCCTAATTCAAAGAAGAAAACTGGGCACCTTCTATAGGCAAAGAAAGGGGAAAGTGCCCTCCATACTGCTACAAATTCCCATTAATTTATAATTGTCAGCAAAATAAACTTTTCAATGTTCTAATATAACTCAAAATTAGGCAATGCCTCAGCCTTTAGAGAAGGAATCCAACCCAAAATTGATTTACTTGATTGGTGACAATACCTGGCACAGCAGCTACTCATGTATCAGTCTCTTACTGGGCCAGTAAATCTTTCATTCATTCTCCCTTGCTCACCTTTCCTCATTATTCCTTACCTCTCTTTTCTTTCTTTTCCTTTTGTAGGGAGAGAGGGAAGGATTTTAGGCACTGGAACACACATGTAAAACTTACTATGCAATAGATGCTATAATAGAGTTTGCCTAAAGTACAGAGACAGCCAGAGGAGGAAAAAACTTATAATATCATGGAGGAACTGGATGGACTGCTAGTGTTAATAAATTTTCACAAAGATTGGGATGATATCTTGGATGGAACTTATTTCAGCGCCTTACTACTCATGAAAAGTACTCAGTAAACACTATTGTGGTTGCTGGTACAGTCTGAAGTCTAGATACAACAGCAAACCCCAGGGAACTTATCAGTTGGAATATGAGGCAGAGTTCCAGGTATATGCTTCTAGCATCAGCTTTTATAACCTGTGGGTCCTTGAGCGTTTACTTTGCCTCTCTGAGTTTTATTTTTCTTACCTACTCAATAGAGACAACAGCCATAAGCCTCAAAATAACCTATATTTTACCATGACAATTTTTAAAGAGTTACTACCTATCATTTCCTTTTAGCATCACAATATGATGAAATAGAACACTTACTCTGGTTCTCATTTTGGAGACTTAGGGAAAAAACACTAAAAGACAGAATGACTCGCATTTACCTTGATTCAGCAAACATACTCTACATTGTGAGGATAGATACAGAGAAGAAATGTCTAGTTTCTGTCCCCCAGGAACTCAGTTTAGTGAGTCATAGTTAGTCTTGCTTGCTCTAAGCAAGACAGGGGTGTCAAAGAAGCTCCATTTCTACTCTGAGTCTTCTTTCCTGTGAAAGGAAGGAGATGGCGATTAGCTAGTCTTCTGTCACTACACATTGACTCAACATATACTGACATTCAATTTAAGTTTTAAAAAAAGTCATGGAAAAATTTATTCCAACCACAAATGGCCAGCCTGGATAATGATCTATTCAATGGCATGAATATGGATCATAACCACATTGTGAAGTGACCATTCCCAACTCTTCCACAGAGTCAGGAAGGATGTTACCTCACAAAATATAATTGCCACTTTCAGACATCATTTCTCTATTTATTGTGGCCAGAACTGTATATCCTAGCTGCCTGGGACATAATGTGGTTTGTGTGTCCCTGTGAGTAGTGCTGTTGCTGTGCATCAGAAGGAGGGAGAGACAAGAGACAGAGCAAGCTAAACAGAAACAGTATAAACACTTGACTGTATGTTTACTTATTTTTTCCTAGTGAAAAGTGAATCTACCAAGAACCTTGGCAATGAAAATTGAGCACTTTTTCTGGAAGAATATGAAAATTTCCAGAGAATTGCAGCAGACTCTGCATTGATGGGCTGTTGGATGATTGGGGTATTGTCAGTGGGTGATTGGAATTTCTTGTTTGTATGAAAAACAATCTAAACTTTTTTTAAAAAATGTGTTTTATAGCCTCTTGAATTAATTAACTTGTAAGACCCCTTTATTCATATTAAAAACTCACCTTTGCACTTGATTAGTGTAGTACTTACTAGGCCCTGGCTTTTAATAACCTTAATTCCATAAACTGAAAGGTGTTTTTATTTTTTTTCTTTTTTCTTTCTTTCATTCTTTTTTTTTTTTTTTTTTTTTTTTTTAGGTGGGGTCTTGGAGTGCAAGTGGTATGAGCATAGCTTCCTCAAACTCCTGGGCTCAAATGATCCTCCCAACAGGCTTCTACCACCACACTCAGCTAATTTTTTTTTTTTTTTTTTGGTAGAGACAAGTTTTGCTCTGTTGCCCAGGCTGGTCTCAAATTCCTGGCCTCAAGCAATCCTCCCACCTCAGCCTCCAAAGCACTGAGATTACAGGTATCAGCCACTATACCTGGACTTGAAAACTTTATTTGTTAATTTGATGCATGACCAAACCCAAGGATCACTTGTGTCAACCAGAGTTGGCATTCTCTTTAGTAGAACCTCATTAAACAGAAAGGCTCTACAACTCACTGTCTAGCCACAGGAGAAGAACTAGTCATCCATCAGTTGCCCTTTCTTATCTTTAGAGTTCATATGTAACTTACCCTTGTGAGACAGCTTTTCTACTTGAGAAACTCCTAGTACAATGTCTGGACTAAAAGCCTGAATAAATACTATCAACTACTGTTTCTTATATTCACTTCAGAAAATCAGTGGCTCCACATTGTTTGAGCCATTCATCTACTTGTTCAAGTCTTATAAATTCTGTGCCTTTCGTCACATTCCCAGTCCACTCTCATCATTACTGCAGAAGGGTGTTGTGATGGCCAGTTTTATACTGTATTTTGATATGTCTAGCAATAACTTTTAAAAAGAAAACTAGGAAATCAACATGTTATTGGAATGTATATGTACATATTAATGTATATACACAGCTTAATTTATACATTATGGCAGCTCTGTATACAGTTTGATCTCACATACTGAAAAATAATTAATTTTATTGGAGTTTATGCCACAATGAAAGTGCAATATGAGTATAAGAGAGTAAAAGATTGTTACATCTGTATTATATGTGTATACTTAATGGTTAAAAAGCAATGATAAAATTGGACATTAATGAAATTCATTTTTAGTTTACAGTTGGAATAAGTTTTTTACCAAAAAGGAACTATAGAGATGTTAGTTAAGGAGACTTTGAGATATGAAAAGATAATGAGAAGATTAGCATAAGATAAATTTGTAGAACACAAGTATAACTTGGGGTAGAAATTGGAGAAGAGAATCGAAAAACAGTAATGCCAGAAAGACCCTTGGTATAAAAGTAGTAGTGGAAATGTGATTCATAGAAAGTGAGGCCTTGAAATTTGAGAAATATGCATATATATAATCTCTAAAGCAATTTCAGGAATCTTCTCATAATATATGATAAAGAATATGTGTAGAATTATGTTTTTCACAATATTACTGGAGAGACAATTAAATGAGATTTCAAGGAATTCATTTATAATCTAAAGTGAAATGTGCCTTCTTGAAATCAGCAAGAAATAGATGAATTGAGTGAAACATGTCATAGAATTGTTATTAGGAAAAGCGGGATAAAGTATACAAAAAGAACATGTGATCTGAATATCAGGGTGGATAGGAATTTCCTGACAGTGAAATCTGTTATGATGTAGTCTCATTTCCAAGAAAAGTATTGAGTTCCGTCCCTTCTGAATTTAAGTTGAAAACTGGACAAAAAAACAAACTATCCTGTACTTTCCACTGCTCAGGAGGAAAAAAGAAATCTACATCATCTAATGCATCTTTGCCATCTTTATTTTCTAGAAAATAAAATTCTATTAGAATTTTCAATTATAGGCTTTCTTAGGAAAGAATGTAACTCAGAATTCCCCTAAATTTAACTATCAACTTATTTGATTAATATGCACATTTATTCCCATAAGATTTACAATACACATGTGTTTTAGTGAATTACCAGTGGCTTGGAGGGTATGGAACTGGAATAAGCTGAAAGCCCTAGATGTTTGTAGCATTAAGACCCAGTTTCTTTTTGGAGGCCGTCTCCATGTTAGATTATTGACAAATTCTGATGAGTAAACAAACTCCTTGGCCCTGTTAAGTTCAGCATCCTGCATTTTGTTCATGAATCACATCTTAAAAGGAGAAAAGCTCCACTTGGTTTTCTTTATTTTTTTAAACAATGATTTCAAAGAGAAGATAGGCCTTTCGTAATTGCTAATTATACATATGGGATTAATAGTAGTAAATTATAGTAAATAACACCTGTACCTGTGCCTATCACAAATGTGAATTAGCCAGGCACAGTGGCTCACACCTGTAATCCCAGAATTTTGGGAAGTCGAGGGATTTTTGAGACCAGCCTGGCCAACATGGCAAAACTCCGTCTCTACTAAAAATACAAAAATTAGCCAGGTGTGCGGCAGGCACATGTAGTTTCAGCTACTCAGGGAGCTGAGGTACGAGAATCACTTGAACCCAGGTGGCAGAGGTTGCAGTTAGCTGAGGTCATTCCGCTGCACTCCTGGGCACTGCCTGGGTGACAGAGTGAGACCCTGTCTCTAAAAAAAAAAAATTGAAAAGAGTTATTGAAGATAGACATTTAGTATTCCAAACTGTAGTTGAGCCAGTTTGTTTTCATGTAGCAAGTAGTGGGATTCAGGTTTCATGACATACAATAAAATATTAATCACATAACTATAATGCCAACGATTTTCTTTATACATTTCTGTTTAATTAGTTTGACATATACTTTGTGTTATACCTGATTTCATGTTACTAAATTTTACATAAAGATGCTGGTCTATTTTTATTTAATCATACACTGTTACAATTTGGATGTAGTTTGTTCCTACCAAAACTCATGTTGAAATTAGATTCCCATGTGCTAGTGCTGAAGTAGAGCCTAATGGAAGGTGTTTAGGTCATGGGGGCAGATAGATCCCACATGAATAAATTAATGCCCTCCTACTGGGGTAAGTGAGTTCTCATTCTTGCTGTCGTGGGAATGGATTAGTTCCCACAAGAGCAGGTTATTGAAGAGTCTGGCTTCCTTGATTTTCTCGTTTTTGCCTCCTCTCTTCCTATGTGATCTCTTTGCATATGCCTACTCCCCTTTCACTTTGTGCCAAGAGTAGAAGCAACATGAGGTCCTCGCCAGATAACAGCTGCCCAATCTTGAATCTTCCAGCTGACAGAATCATGAGCCAAATAAAACACTTTTAAAAAACAAATTGCCCAATGTTAGGTATTCTGATATAACAACATGAACTGGACTAAGCCTTATTCTATTGCATTGAAATGTGTTGTTTATTTTCAGGTAGATGTAGTGAAGGATGATTAGTAACCAATCATTCTTCATTTGCAAGTGACAAAAACTCAAAATAGTGTCAGCATGAAGGGCAGTTTATTGGCTAATATACAGGGAAGTCAAGGCATGACTGGGTCCTGGGTCCAAACGTCAAAAGAAGTCATCTTACCATCCTACACACTTAGCTCTGATTATTTTCTTTTTTATGGATTGGTTTTCTCTTCCAGGCAGATTTTCCCCTTGGGGATATGCTGTTAGGGATGAGGAGCAGTGAGGTGAAGATGGTGGATAACAGCAATTGACAGTTTAAGCTTACCTTATCATAGCAAGGTTCAAAGCTTTTATATAGCAAGCTATGTAAAATTTTGGAGAAGTACTTTGATTTTGCCCAGATTGGATCACATTTATTTCCTGAGCTGATCAAGAAAGGAATTTGCCCAAGGGAGTGGGAAATTTTTAAAAGAAAGCTATAGGGAGCAGGTGAGGAAAGGTAGTTACTGAGAATACAAAAGTAACACCTCCGTTGCACCCTATTTGAATATTAGTAGCAAGAGATTTCTGATTTGTACTAACAGAAAGCGTAAAGTTTAGATTTAATCTGTAAGTCTTCATTGTTTATAGCTAGAGATTTTAATTTCTGCTTGTTCTCATTGCTGCTTTTGAGTTGCCATTATGGCTTTTTGGATTTTTGTTTTAATGCCATCGATTTTTGTTTAACATCATGTTGCTGCTGGTTTGAGCAGATGTACATAGCATATGTTTTCATTACCAATTTGGAAATTTTTCCCAGTGGCATCAGCATTTGAGAAATGCTGATTTTGAAATTAGAGTACTAGGGGAAAATGTTTCAAAAATGAAGACTATTTAAATTAAAAATTGCTTTAAATCTTTGGGAATCTGTAATTGACTAAAAAGTATTTTCTTTAAACTTTGGTCTTTGAAAACTAAAGTGTGTGTGCATGTGTTCATTAAAATGACCTATAACATGAACATTTTCCATACTGGAGTGTGATGTACTGCACTCATTTTGAACTTTAGAACCAAATGCGTCCTTTTTCATTTGATGAGCTAATACATAACTCTATTTTCAGCTTTATTTTCTTGCCAAATAAAGTACCAAAGCTCAGCCTGACATTTGGTAACCACTCACTTGGTCCCAGCCTAGTTTTATAGCTTGCTCACTCCCTCACTCACTCTCCTTTTCAAACTTCTTCAGTCACACAAAACGTCAAGGACCGATTTCATTCTGCATGTGGGTATACGGTTTTCCCAGCACTTTTGATTTTTTCTTTCAGTATCTTTTCCTCATTGTGTCTTGGTAGCTTTGTCAAAGGTAGTTGATGGGTTTATTTCTGGGGTCTATTCTGTTCCTTTTGTCTATGTGTCTTTTTGTGGAGTACAATGCTATTTTGATTACTATAGCTTTGTAGTATATTTTGAAGTTGGGTGGTGTGATTCCTTCAGTTTGTTTTTCTGTTTTGGCCACTCAAACTCCTTGATGGTTTCATCAAATTTTAAGATTGTCTTTTCTTTCTATTTCTGTGGGGGAAAAAAACCACTGGAGTTGTTATTAGGATTACATTGGCTCTGTAGATTATTTTGGGTAGTATGGATATTGTAACAAAATTCTTTCAATTCATGAACATGGTACATCTTTCCATTTATTTGTACTTCAGTTTCTTGCATCAATGGCTTGTAGGTTTCAGTAAACAGATTTTTCACCTCCTTAGTTAAATTTATTTCTAAGTATTCTATTGTTTTTGATGCTATTGTACGTAGCATCATTATTTCTTTCTTTTTCAAACAGTTCATTGTTAACCTGTAGAAACCCAACTGATTTTTGTATTTTGATTTTGTATCTTGCAACTGTACTGAATTTATTAGTTTTAACAGTTTTTGGTGAAGTCTTTGGGTTTTCTATGTCACGTCATCCGCAAAGAGACTATTTTGCTTCTTCGTTACTGATTTGATTTTATTTTTCTTGACTAATTGCTCTGGCTAGGATTTCCAGTGCTTTGTTGAACAGAACTGGTGAGTTCTATTCTTTGTTGTCTTGTCTCTGATCTTAGCAAAAAAGATTTCAGCTTTTCACTGTTAAGTATGATGTTAGCTGTAGCCTTGACACATGTGGCCTTTATTATGTTAAGATACATTCCTTTCATACCTAATTTGTTGAGAGCTTTTTATCATGAAAGGGTGTTGAATTTTGTCATGTGCTTTTTCTGTATCTGTTGAGATGATCATATGATTTTTGTTCTTCATTCTGTTAATGTGGTGTATCTAATGTATTGATTTGCATGTGGCACCATCTTTGTATCCCAGGGACAAGTCGCATTTAGTCATGGTATATCATCCTTTCAGTGTGCTGTTAAATTCAGTTTGCTAGTATTTTGTTGAGAATTTTTGTATCTAGGTTCAATAGGGATATTGGCCTTTGAGTTTTACTTTCAGTGTTTTTATCTAGCTTTACTATCAGGGTAATACTTTTTCATAAAATAAGTTTGGAAGTATTTCCTCTTCAGTTTTTTGGATGAGTTTGAGAAGAATTGGCATGAATTCTTCTTTAATTATTTGGTAGAATTCAATGAAGTCATCTTGTCCTTGGCTTTTCTTTGTTGGAAAGTTTATTACTGGGTCAGTTTCCTTACCTGCATTAATCTGTTTCTGATTTCCATTTCTTCATGATTCAGCCTTGATAGGTTATATGTTTCTAGAATTTTGTCCATTTCTTC